GAGATTCTCACTGTAAGCTCCGGCAATGGCGTTGATGACACTAAGTCCGCCGACAGTGAAAGTAACGACGCATGCTCCAACACCGCGAGACCTAGCGTATCCATCAGCAGCGTATCCTGCGTTGAGCTCATTGCAGCAGCCAATGAGGTTGAGTCCTGGCTCGGCGACGAGGTAGTCAAGCAAAGCGAGGTTGAAGTCGCCGGGAACGGAGAAGACATCAGAGACACCGATCTGGACGAGTCGACGAGCGATGTGTCGGCCGAGAGTGGACTCGGAGTGGCTGATTGGAACGACGGATGTCTTTACGGAGGAAACCTCACCATCCAGAGAGGCGACGTCGACGGAAGCAACTTTGGTGTCCATTTCGTTTGACACAGGTCCGTAACTAGTGATTTGGAAATAGAGAGTGAAAAAGAGAGAGTGCTTTCGACTTCAGTTTGATTTTTGAAGCTTGGATGCAGAAGATCAGTGACGCTGCGTATTTATATATAGGGATGATGACTTATATCAGATATATATTTTTTGATTTTACTTATATTTGGATATTGAGTTTTTTTATTCGTAAATCAATTTGTTTAAACACTATATATTCAGTTTTATGGCCCGCTATTCGATGTAAAAAAAATATTTAATTAAATAATATATTTTTTAATTTGTATATATTTAATCCTTATACTTTTTTTGTTGTAAAATAAATTATTGTTGTTTTTGTACACATTCAGTATTAGGATCGGTTTTTCAGGTTTTGTTCATAATATCCTATGTAAGACAAGTATATATGTAGTGTTTGGGGCTCTTGATGCTTATGATTACCACAGCCTCGGTTCGAGGCTTCTTACATCTTGTAGTTTGGACTACTGTCTTGTGTTATGAAAATCGTAATATTTTCATATGATCCCAGATTTTAACAATCATTATATCAATGTGTTCGTACTTGAGTTTATTACAACATACATTTACATTACTCTCGTTAAAAGGTAATGTATTTTTATGTATGGTCTTTATATCAATGTGTTCCTTATAAATGTCTATATGAACATTTTTTATTACCAGTCGAACGACTCATGAATAACACGTGGATACAAAGATTTAAGTAAAATATATTACTTTAAACTACTCTGGTTATCAGTTTTAAAAAATAATAGATTTTTACTTTTGATTTTATAAAAAATGTGCATAAATACACACATAAGGAACGATTGGATATAAAGATCGTAAATAAAAATAAATTACTTTTTAATGGGAGAAACCTAAACGAAATTGTAGTTGACACAAATATAAACGAGTAAACTTAAAGATCGTTAAAACCCAAGTTCATATAAAGAAGTTACGACGTTTACAACATAAAACCTAAGCAACTAAGCAGCCGAGGCCACGGTGACCATAAGCATCAACAACCCTGAAGATATATTAATGATTGTCACATGTAGGATGCCGTAAGCAAAACGTGAAAAATCAGACATAAATACTGAATATGTACAAAATCAACAATGACTTATTTTGCATAAATTATTTCGAATTTCTAAAATCCACATCTACCACTGTTCCTTATATCTTTGGTGGTTTAAATCTACCTCATCCACCCATTATTAAACCTTCAAAAAGAAATTATGATGCTACTATAAAAACTAACTTTGTGATGTGCCTACAGTTTCGTCTTCCATATTATCAAAGATGAGTAACTTCTTCAAATGATGGATTACCTAGAAACAATCACTAACTCGTAAGTTGGTTGTCCGGGGAGGGGTTCCGGAACAAAGCTCTGACGATTAAGTTAGTAGAAGCCTTGACAAGGTTACTAAAATATATCTTAAATCGAAGTGAGTGAATGGTTGTTCGCGTACCTTGCAGGAGTGCATCAGATCACCTATTAATAATTGGAGTAGAAAACGTCCCAACCTTCCTTCCTTCCGAACTGATCTGAGGTCTTGTCGTATTTATGGCCATACACCCTAAGGTACTAAGAGAAACACTTGGAAACTGTTATATAACTGTAGAAGGTTCAACCAATCCTTCTTATACAATTGTTCCTGTTTCATTGAGCTCCCATGTACTTTGTGTACTGTAGCGACATCACCTTGTTCCTTTGTCAACTTTTCACCTAATTTCGGTACTTTAGGTTCAATTGGGAATCGAATATGGTTCGAGGTTTTCACATAGTTCGGGGATTATGCGAGGTTCGATTGTTCGGTCATTTCAAGGGTATAGGAATGGTGATTAACTCTATACCCTATTAATTTCCCCCCATTTTAGATTATTAATTATCGTTGTGAGTAGTAATTCAAACTAACTAGGTTTTCAATGATGGCCTTTGTGAATAGATAAGGTTGAGGCACCTGAACTGAATTCTGATGAGACGGTTTGACGACTCCTAGAGGCAATCATTGCCTATAATTGTCTTTTTGTTTCTTTTCTATTTAAGGGGTGTACAGTGCGTAACTTCCATTTTGTCTCCCTATTATCATTCCTTCTTCTATCCTCCTATAAATATTTCTTTGATTCCTTTCATTTTTTCGTTCGAACTTCTCCCGAATTCTATTCATCTTCATTTCCATTCTATCATGGCTAGTAAAGATATATCTCATAATGAGACCGTAAAATCCAAACTTTCAGTCAAGAGTTTGGCTGCCCTCTTGAAAGAAATACCACATCGATCCTTAATTCCATCCACGGCTTCCAGAGCCTGGAAATCCAATTGTCCACGGACTAGCTACCTTTGTTGGAGTGTACAAGGTTCGTTTCAAGTCAAGGCTTCGTCTCTCTGCTCATGATTTTTTGGAAGCGGTTCTCGACTATTACTAACAACACATCACTCAAATTTCTTTAAAAGGGTTTTCAGAAGGCGATTTGTTTCATGATCTTAAGCCCGACCCTAAACATTTCCCTTCTATAACTTTGTTTCACCATTCCTATATTACTATGTCTAATGGCGATTGGGTCTCCTTTTCCCTTTGACATGGCTTGGTAAAACTCTCTGATGGGCTTCCTATTTCTGTCAAGGGGTGGAAAGAGGAAATCTTTTTTGTTGATGCTTATTCTTTCTCGGGCCCCATGGCATATGCTGCTACTACTGATAGGGGTTTTGATGCTCTGCCCAACTTATTCGCTGAAGAGCGAGACCATTGACCATTTGGCTTAGAACTATGTTAAGTGGGTGGACCCGGAAGAGGTAACCCTAGGCATGGATGACCCGAGTCCTCTTTGGAATAGACTAGGTAAGAAACCGGTTGAAATTGTGTCTGTTCAAGAAGTAACTATGCTATACCGTTTGCATAAGAAACAATGAGCACACTCATATGTAGTCATCGGGGAAGTTTTTGTACCAAATTTTCCTTTTCCTTCAAAATCGAGAATGGATTCCACCGTGAATCCCTCGTCTTCAGAAGCTTTGATACCACTCGTCTCCTCTTTTATCATGAAAATGTGAAGATGCAGTTCAGTAGTAGGAAACGCTTGTCTTCCTCTACTAGGGCCGTCGTTAAAGGCTTATCCTTAAAAAGGAAAACTGGTTCAAAAAAGGTGGTTTCCTTGGAGGGTGTAATGAACCATCCTAATTAGTCGATTGCTGCCTGCCTTCCAAAATGAAAGAGGTATGCTCCTGATCATAGGCTGAAGTTTCAAAAGTCCAGATGATCTGGTACCAAGGCCCCTCCTACATATGCTAAGTTCAATGATCCTGTAGAGACCCGGACATCCTCTGCTCTATATGACTGTCTGTGATCACTGACCCCACATCATACATGTCGATGATAATATTCCCTTGTCTGACTCCGATGTTCCTTCTACTGATGTTTTTCTTATTTCCTTGAACCAAATGGAAGTCCCCCAGTATCTTTTGTGTCTGACAAAGATCTGGTTGTTACCAAGGTATCTCGGCGTCTGTCAAGAGGTCACATTACCTCTACTTTTCCTACTATTGATATTTTTCACCAGAAGCTGTTTGGGACTAGGCCACAACAACAACTATCATGATTGTGAATCCCTTAAGTTTGGAGTCTGATATTCCTAGGTCTTCATTGATGTTTATATATACTTCCTCTGCTAAACCTCCTTCTGATTTGAAACCCCTACATCCAACGCAAAATTGTAAGTGGGTTTTCCCCCTTTTCTCCCTCTCTCTCTCTCTCTGTCTATATATATATATATATATATATATATATATATATGTGATGTAGATCCGGTAAGAAATTTTTTTCGATTTATTTTTTTGGCAAAAAAGAAAAAAACAAATGAATCACTAAATGAACCAATAATAACATGATTCACAAAAATAAAATCCCGAAAAAGCATTTCGATGATTCATTTTTATGATGGTTTTGTTGATATTCACTAAAATTGTCATACAAGTGAATGTTTTTCTTGATTTATCTAAAAATGAACCATGAAGGTGTTTTTTCAGAATTTTTTCTTATGAATCGTCTTACTTTTTGTATCATCTAATAATTCATTTCATTTTTTGCTAAGAAAATATGCATATAAAAAAATTTCTTACCTTCCTAACAAAAATTTCCTTCTTATTTGATCTTGACTCTATATATATATATATATATATATATATATATATATATATATATATATATATATATATATATATATATATATATATGCATGCTTGTGAGATTACTTATTAGGGCCTATTTCTTTTACTCTTTTGTTTCTTTATTGCAGTGATCCCTTCTTCTAGTAAGGAAGCTTTGATTCCTACCTTCGTCAGTCTTGCAGTTTCACTTCCTCAGTTTCAACGTCCTTTCACTACCACTGCCGTTCCTAAAAGCCCCGAATTGGCAAGTGATTCTGATGAAGAAACTCTTGACAATGCTCGTTCACACTTAATGGAGGATATGCACCCCCTTAATGAGGTATCTGCTTGTACCAAGGTCGGAACTGAGCTTCTTGCCCAATGTCAGGTTAAGTTTGAGGAGGGCCTACAGAAGCTAAAAGAACTTGGCAAGATTCATGAACGGCTGAACAGAAAGTACAAGAACTTCAAGAAAGGGTGAAAGGACTTTCCGAAAGGAATATTGTTCTTATAAGAGACCTAAGTGAAAGTTTTCGCTACAAAAATGAGTTGGAAAAATTAAATAAAGATCATTATATTAAAGCAAACGATGCCCTTGGTTGCCTTTTGACTCTCACCAAAGAGTTAGAGGAAAAGACCTATCATTTCAAGTCCTTGAAGCTTCGATTTACTGAGAAGCTCTCTGAGCTAGAGATCTCCTGTTCTGACTAAGATGTGCACATTAGGATGCTAGAGGAAGAACGCACTACCCAGAAGGGACTTCGTGTTGATATGGATGCTCATATACTTCAATTGAATCAAGCCCAAACCTCTTTTCTTTTAAATGAATCTTGTTTTACTTCCGAAACCGAAATCAGAGCCTCTGAATTTTGGTAGTTGGTGGAGGAACGCATTCCCTCATTTGTTTATTCTTTACTTAACTCTTAGAATTTCAGGGATGTCAATGTTGTAGTTCAGACAACAACTATTCAACTCAGCCTCCATCAGGCATGTGTGGAGATAAAGTAAAAATATCTCGATGCTTTGGAAGGGAAGAATGTTCTTTACTCTTACCCTGATGTCCAACATTAGGTTCTAGATCAGTTTGCAAGCATGGTATCCCACAAGTACTTATTATTCGATCTTTTAGAGGGAGATTCCGTGGATGTGATTCTTTTTAAGGACAAATTGGGTGCTTTAGATCCCTTTTTAAATCTTAGTGGTACTTCTGGAAATGTTTAACATGATAATATTTATGTATCTTTTTCTTTTGTTTTCTCTTCTCTTTTTTTTGTAACATCATATGGATACATGTTTTCCCATGTTGGATAATGCTACACGATGACTTAGAGATTGTAATTAAAGTATTTGTCTTTTCTTTCTTTGGCTTTTCTTCATCTGCTTCGATTTTCGCATATCATCTAATTGTTTGATTTGAAGTAAATTTTATTTTAAGGACTTAGACTCTATCCTTGTGGTATCACCCCCTAAGTGATAAGTTATCAACTTATGACTTAGGCTAACCATATGTTGATCAAACATATGTTTGTCGTGTGTTTTGATACCAGTTAGGTAGTTTTATTTGCCTTCATAATTGATATGCAATCGTGATAATGACTCCTTTACCCCCAAACTTTTCAATTTGAGATGATGTTTTTTTTTTTCCATTTTCAAGCTTATAGATCAAGGCATTCGAATCATTTGGTCTTGATGTAGCAAACCAAACTGATGTTTAAAAGTTGTGTTGGATAACAAGTTACAACCTCATGGTTGGAGGAATGTATGAACGTCATCAGGTTATGATGTGACGGATCATACCGATTGTTTTGGTCAAAATCGACTAAGTATAATTCAACCAAATTGTATGAGAAGCTGTGATGCTCATGATAAATCTAGTATGAAATGATGATCAAAGTGACACAAGTGAGTTACAAGGAAATCCCATGATCCTTCATAGGATCTCCGACATAAAACCTTGGGAGGTGATAATAATCACTTGCCTAAATGTTTTTATTGATATAAAATGTTGATTTATAGAGATGAATGTGTAAATGTAAGTACAAGTATCTTAGATAAGCTAAACGTGTCTGTAGTTTGCTAGTTACATGTGTTATTTATAGTCTAATGCTAATAACAAAAAGTCTGATAATTCCGAGATCCTCTAGAATCAACATATGAACATTATTTGACTTGGTACTCCGGGTCTTTTGCCTTGTTGAGATGACTCTCTGTTGAGAATGGATCTTGTGTTGACTCATTCTGCACATGTGAGAAAAATAAAGAGAATATAGTCGTTACAAATGTTAGAAATATTAGTGGTAATAGTCAGGATCCCGGGATATGTTTAAGGATCCTGAGGCTTTAGAAGTAGTTGCGGATCCCGAATATAATTCAAGGATCCTGCCCCTAACAATTGCCCCCAAATTATACCTGCGAAATACAAACACTAGTGTCTAAATATTTAGAGGCATAAATTTTAAGTAAAAAATGAAGTAAAAATCTTTAACGGATGGGTAATTTTGAATTTGAACGGGTAGATTTCTAGCTGTTGGAATGGGTCAAATCACCCTTCTACATCTTAGTGATTCTTGTATAAATAGGATATGGAGCTTTTCATTCTCATCTTACTCTTAGCTTTTATTCTGGAATTTCGTTGAGCATCGTCGAAGGTAGTATTTTTGTTTGTTTATTTTCTCCTTCTTAACTTTAGTCATGGTTAAAAAATCTACTTGTTCTCGTTCCACCATCATCACTATTCCTGATGATGATTTCAAGGACCAGAAAATCTTATCTTAAGAGGAAACTGGTACCTTTAATGACAATGGCATTAAGGCCCTAAAGTCAGCTAGAACTTTTTCTACCGGTACTATCTTTAGGGCTTTTGATGATAGGATCCAACTTGACTTTGTTTTTATTGATATAAAATGTTGATTTATAGAGATGAATGTGTAAATGTAAGTACAAGGATCTTAGATAAGCTAAATGTGTCTGTAGTTTGCTAGTTACATGTGTTATTTATAGTCTAATGCTAATAACAAGAAGTCTGATAATTCCGAGATCCTCTAGAGTCAACATATGAACATTATTTCACTTGCTACTCTAGGTCTTTTGCCTTGTTGAGATGACTCTCCATTGAGAATGGGTCTTGTGTTGACTCATTCTGCACATGTGAGAAAAATAAAGAAAATATAGTCGTTACAAATGTTAGAAATATTAGTGGGAATACTTAGGACCCCGGGATAATGTTAAGGATTCTGAGGCTTTAGAAGTAGTTGCGGATCCCGGATATGATTCAAGGATCCTGCCCCTAACAATTGCCCCTAAATTATACCTGCGAAATACAAACATTAGTGTCTAAATATTTAGAGGCATAGATTTTAAGTAAAAAATGAAGTAAAAACCTCTAACGGATGGGTAATTTTGAATTTCAACGGGTAGATTTCTAGCTGTTGGAATGGGTCAAATCACCCTTCTACATCTTAGTGATTCTTGTATAAATAGGATATGGAGCTTTTCATTATGATCTTACTCTTAGCTTTTATTCTGGAATTTCATTGAGCATCGTCGAAGAGTATTTTTTTGTTTATTTTCTCTTTCTTAACTTTAGTCATGGTCAAAAAATCTACTTGTTCTCGTTCCACCATCATCACTATTCCTGATGATGATTTCAAGGACCAGAAAATCTTATCTTAAGAGGAAATTGGTACCTTTAATGACAATGGCATTAAGTCCCTAAAGTCGGCTAGAACTTTTCCTACCGGTACTATCTTTAGGGCTTTTGATGCTAGGATCCAACCTGACTTTGTATATCCCTCTTGGATTTGTTTTCTCGAATATCCTTTTACCCTAGTACTTTCTTACCCTTTCTCTAGAATCTTTTTCGAATTTGTCAAGATCACTAAAATCTCATATAATCAAATAATGCCAATGGTTTGGAGGATCGTCTACTGGATTGATCATTTGAACCACTCTAGGGATCTTACCATTGGCTAAAATGAGCTAGCCTACATTTATCAACTTACAACTTTTGGGAACTCTCGCTTCCTGTTGAAGGTCAAAACCGATAAAGCATCCCTTGTGTTGAAGTCCAAGCATAATGATGGTTCTTGAAAAGGGAGACCTTTCTTCATGAAACATGACTTGATTCCTGATGGAAATCTTTTACCATAATCCTGGATAAAAAGGGTAGGGTTTCCTTTTTTTCTTTATCAAGAATCCTGACATTGACTCTTCTTATTTTATTTGATGTTTTGCATCCTTTAAGATTGATGAGCAAGTTCCTCCTGGTGAAGATACCGAGGATAGAATCAAGAGTTTCCTAATTCTATCTGAGTCAGAGAGGTCATTTAGGCTTTTTAGATAAGAATATTTTGCATGATTTTGTATAAGATAATGTTTGTTTCTTATGGAATCGATGTACCACTTCTTTGTTTATGTATGGCTCTTTCGTACTTTTCTATTTGCATGGTTAATTTTGCTTGATTTAATTGTAGGATTTATGAGGATCCTTACATAGTCACGATCCTAAAAAGTTCAAACTTTTCTATATCCGATTATCCTAAAACGATTAGTCATCAAATTGGGATTTTGAAATAATCAAGATGTTTTTTAGGATACTAAACCTTTTCAAAAATAACGTTAAAGGATAGATAGAACCTGGTTATCTTTTGACCAAATTTATGATTCCCTTAGTTTTGTATGACCATGAAGCTTCCGTATGGAAGGATCCTCGATTTAGAAGTTCATCAGGAAGGATCCTTGGTTGGTTAAAACTTAGTGAGCTTTGGGGATGATTGTGTCTTAGGAATCAATTAGAGATAACTCCAACTTGTTAAATAACTAAGGAAACTCTTTTTTGTAATATGGAAATGCTAGCGTATTTTCAGGGGAGTGTCCCAACATATCAATGTTGTACTTGTTAATAACTTACTGGGGAAATCCCAATTCAAGGCAATATGTGAAAGGTTTTGAGCATTCTAACACTCCTATTGTGTACATGCAACCCTAAATGCCTTGGATCTATGTTTTCTTTATTATACATGCAAACTTTCAATTTTCCAAGGCAGCATCCTAACTAGCATACTATGGAGTATATACACTACAAAAATCTAGTTAGATGACTTACCTTTGTTGTAGCTTTGAAACCCTAAGCCTTTAAGATCCTAGCACCCCAAGTGTGATGCCTCGAATGCTTCACACAACACCACCAACAAAGGAGGACTTGAGAAGATATTATCTTGCACACACAAACTCGGATAGCCCTCTTGTATCTCACTTAAGTGCCGATTTTGGTTTCCATGAGTAACCGAGGAAGATCCCTTCATCTGCATTTACGTCAAACTTGTTTCGGTTCTCTTTGGAATTGAAAATAAAACATCTTGAACTGAAAACATGGAATAACTTGATGTTTAGTTTGCGATTATTCAAGATCTCATACGGAGTGATGGAAAAGCGCTTGTTGAGGAAGGATCGGTTCAGGGTATAGCAAGCAGCTACTATAGC